TAATGGTGAACATGTGAGTTTGTTAATAAACCYGCAGGCACAACAGTGATAAACGACTTTTGCGAGGGAACGCAAAAGGTATTGCGAGGTAATGCAATACTTTTGCGTGGGAATATGTCCCCTCGAGGGCTCAGTAAGGGAAAAATATGCCTCTTTGGAAAAAATTTAAAAAAAAATTGCAATACTCAAATTTCCCTTCTTTTGCAACAATGCACAGTCATAGATGTGTTGACAAAGAAATTGCAAATGTTCTCATTCATCAGGGAAATGGAGTCACACCCGTTGGGAAGCCAATAAAGAGGAAAACTGAGGCTGCTCGGGTTGCACAAAAAAGGCCTTAAGTCCTTTTACAAAGCTTGGTAAAAAGCCCTGCAAATGGCTTTCGAACACGTTCTTGAGACTCAGCAGATTAATTGTGAGATCGTTTGGACACGATGGTCCCTTCTCAGCAGTTTTCTCTCCACTTGTGACGGTGTCAGAAAGTTTTTTAAAATGTACCTTGTTGTGTCTTTCCAGAGCATAATGGTGCTTCTCTTGTGGCTCGGCCTGCAGCTGCTGGTGACCGTCCGGTCCAGCTCCGTCAAGAACTGCCACCCCAGCTGCCACTGTGACGTGGAAAGCTTCGGGCTGTTCGACAGCTTCAGTCTGACCAGGGTGGAATGCCGAGGTCTGGGTCCCAGCGCCTCCATGCCCATTCCCATCCCACTGGACACCTCCCATCTGGACCTGTCTTCCAATGAAATGGGCCCGCTGAGCGACGCCATGTTAACTGGTCCAGGCTACACCACGCTAGTTAGCTTGGACCTCAGCAGCAACCGCATTACAAAGGTCAGGATTCCAAGAAACTTATGTAGACCTTTAAACAAAGGTTTACACACAGAGGAGCCTTGTTCATATAACAAAAATCTYTATTATTAACAAAACAAAAAACAAGAACATCTAATCCCTCTAGAACAACAATGTATATAGATACACATTATACTGTTTCGTATTTCTCTAACAATCCAACTTTTATCATTTTCTTAAACATACACAGTGATCCTGCATTTTTAACATCACTCCCCAAATTATTCCATAGCTTTATTCCTTGAATTAAAGTTTACTGTTCCTTCAAACTAGTTCTGAATAATTTATTCTAACTTCCTTCATCTGTTTGTGTCTTCATAATGTAGAGTTTGGCTACATTCAGTTGAATATTTGTAAAAACTTGTCAATATGACCTTCCCATCGTCAAACCCAGCTGCTGTTAGTTTACATGAAGGACGATGAAAGAATTTACAGTTTTTCTCACCAAAATGAGTGACTGTCATGTCTGAAAACATCAACCATTTCTGTTTGTTTCATCAAGGCAGTTTCAGTTCCAGAGTAGAGTCAATGCCTAACTTTTTCCCCGTTCCTTTTTTGTTCTGTCAAAGTGCCATAATAACTGGTTCTGTTACCACCACGTGTTATTGGTCAAAGCAAAAAACTGCTTAAGTCAGCGCTTTATTGCAGCATAATGATGACCAGTGAGAAAAGCTAAAACAGTATATAACCCCTAAAACTACTGTTTTTTAATCCAAAAAACAAAATAAATAAATAAAGGCTCAGTTTAATCAGTCATCTACATTATTCTGTGTATTTTTGAAAACTGAAATTTTTGCCACATATAAACAGAATTTGGTGGAAAAAACAATCGATTTTTAAAAACACTTTCCACGGAAGAAGTGCTTATTTATTGTTTTTGACGGATCTGTAAATGTATSCATTTAATGGATGATAACATCCYAAGCGGGTGGCAGCATACYTTTACACACACGATTCACATGGATTTTATTTTGAAATCAGAAGTTTCAAAAAGACGACGGAGATGCAGTTTTAACTGTGTTTGGACTCCCGTCTTCCACAGAATTAACTATTTTTACTCTGACTTCCACATTTTTCACTCTCGGACTTCCTCTGTGTTTCCCACCGGACAGGACCGGACCTGAGTGGAGTGGATGCTGTATAAATTGCGAACTGTGCAGTGTAGTTGAGCGGGACCGAACCGTATCGAGTGTAACTTATTAGGGGTTAGTCACAAAATAAAGCCAGTGCATAAAACATCATGAACAATAACTATTTTTCTCTGATTTACAGCAACCTTGTTTAACAATATCATTGGGTGTTTTAATATTGCTAGTCATAACCTATATAAACCTGGATTTAAATAAAACATGCGTATAAATTCTTTATGCAGCACTGTTTCTGGATACCAGTCAGCAGACGGAAATGCCAATTGACTTGTAAAGAAATAAAATATTTAGATACAGCAAAACCCATTTAGCATGTGTTCCGTTTTTTTCATCATTTTTTTCCCATGTCTCATCTTTTTTTTAGGTAAGTCCCAATGCATTATCCAAGCTGCGTTACCTGGAGAGTCTGGATCTGAGCCACAACAGCCTGGAGAGCCTGTCGCCCAGCTGCTTCTCAGGGCTCCCTCTGGCRGAGGTTGACCTCAGTCACAACAGCTTCCGGGAGTTTGACATGGAAGTGTTTGCTTCCAAAGTGAACGGTGAGCCTCTCACTGTGGATCTGTCCCACAACAAGCTGGTGTCGGTCTCCACCAACTTGCACAGCAGAGTTTTACGCATTCAGAGTGTAAATCTGTCAGCCAATCATCTGGTGAACGTACCGAATATAGCAGGACTTCCGCTGAGGTACCTCAATCTGGACGCCAACCCCATCGCCAAGATCACGGAGGGAGCCTTCTCTCACCTGAAAGATCTGGCTTATTTATCTCTTAGTGGCCTTGGCGAGCTGCAGGTTGTTGKGCCGAACAGCTTTAAAGGTCTCCAGAACCTGCAAGTTCTGGATCTCTCCAACAACCCTGAGCTCAAGAGTCTAAGTCCTGCAGTTTTCACTGGACTAAACTCCCTGCAGGAGCTGAACCTATCCGGCTCCGGTATGACGTCTCTGCCGACGAACATGCTGACCCACCTTCCCAGCATTAAGAGTATCAAACTTGGACAAGGCATCCACTGCTGGAAGACCCAGAAACAGGGCCAGTTCCATCGGCAGACGGGTCAGGCCCAACATAACGAGGTGCTGCACTGTAACGTGGAGGGCGTCGTGTTGTGAGACTGTGCCTGATCCTGATTGCAGGGCTGTGGCTCTTCTGCTTTGATATGCAAAACAGTTAGTTTTTTTACTTGCTCTCACTCAGTTAAATCTTCTCCAGGGTGATACTGTGCATTATCTTCTAAGGTATTAATGTAGCAATCAAAAACTCCTGACAAATCATCCTACATTATCCTTTTTTTTTATAATATACAGGACAACTTCCCTAATGTCATATTGAACCGGTCTTGTTACAACATTTCTTGAAATGTTGGCTCTATGTTTTCCAACCCATAGAAACACTTTAGGATCTACTTGCACTTTTCACATATACTTTATTTTCTTCATTGTTGCACTTCATCTGGTCAAAGAAAACGTTAAAGGAAGTATTCAGAACCCACCACGCCATATCCGCACTGATGGATAGTATCACTGCTTGACCACTAAGTTTGCATTTGACTTTGAATGTGATCCCGGATGGAAAAGGAAAATTCTGAGAAGCATTTTAAATAAGATTTATACCACTGTTTGAAGCTACAGTCACAAGCTGTTTAGCTTAGCATGAAGACTAGAAAAATGTGGGAACCATTAGTCTGGCTTTTAATGTTAACTGTTGGTTCAAACACCGTCTATACTACTTTGAGTATTAAATAAAAGGGTGGGGGTGTTGCTGCGTTTGTTTCTTCTGTGTTTACATTTGAATATATCTTCTAAAGTGGAGATATTTAAAAAGTATATTTTTAGTAAATCTGTGAGGAACAGAGAAATGTAAATTGAGAGATATCAGTGGCAGACGGGGCGGTAGCAAATTATTTCCTTACAACCTGCTGGCTGTGAGACTTAAATAAATTTGAAGCAGAAAGATTTGAAAGAATCCATAAGTTTTTCTCCTTATGTCTATATACATGCAAAATGTGTTAACCTGTGTAATTTACATAGAATCCATACAACTTGACGTGCATGGATTCAGTCTATTTGAGTACACGTTTCCAATGAAGAAAGACAGAATTGGAGCAGTTTTTGAATAARTATTGTGCTTTTTAGACCTGCACATTCAGAACTGCAAGCCTCTGCACTACAAGTGATCTGTGAGAGACGTCCGTCAAGCTAAAACTGTCTCTGTGTTTTGGTTTGTTGTTAACGTGGACGTTCTCTTTCACTGGCACACCACATGGTTGTGTCAGCCACTTACGGAGAAATGTGTGGATGGAGATTTGTTTTTAGAATTGGAGAAAAATACCTTTTTTTAAGAAAACATCCAGTGTAGTGTAWATGGGTCCAAATCCATGTTAAAAAAGTTTTCACCAGTTATTGAGGTCAACATTTTTAACCAATTTAGAGACGATAAGGCTACATGATTATAGTCTTAAATCAACAGTATGCAGTATTTTAGGACATGTTATCAGATATGCATTAGATCAGTATAATTTAAGTATAACTAACTAAAGATGGCCGCATCTTTGTATCTAAACAAACACAGCTAGTCTCCTTAGTCTGCCCATGTGCTGCTACAGTATATTCTAAATAACTAACAGAGGAGGGTTAACCAGTTCTTTAAGGCAGGTGAAGATTGAAAGGTTGAGTTTTCATCTACCAGTTTGGTCTTTAGCTTTTGTTGGAGCAAACACCCCCCACCCCACCTCCACCCCCAACATGTTCGCCCCGTGTTTCTAAATGAATGTAAAGTKCTGAATGTAATAAAGGCTGCAGTTTGCAGCTTCACCACTAAGTTTATTGAAATCCTGCACARGGCTCCTTTAACGATGAACGAAACTGAACGGCTGCTCGCTAACAACTATTTCTCAAGGATCTTAACCCCAAAATTCCAAAGATGAGATTTCTTTTTGTTTTCGTTTTTGTTACGACCAYGTAAAGTGTTACGACTCTGGCAGAATGACCATTTCATCCCTTTTACACCAGACTCATACTTTAACGAGCAAACTGTGACCAAGCTGACCAAAAGTCTTCTTTAATTTTCTCTCTTCTTTGTTTATAACATTTGGACCAAAAAAAAAGGAAAGAATGTACCACACATTTAGTGAAACGGATACTGGTATGTCTCAAAGCACATGTGTAAACATACATGGCATTATTTTTGGTATTTAGAGGACAATCAGTTGTATTCACCAGGTTTGTGACTGTAATCTGCTTTGAGATTTGTTGGAAATCTATCTTTGAGTTCAGAGGTCTATATTTGTATGAATGTAACTAACTATACTGTAAACAACTTTATATATGTGTGTGTGTGTGTGTGTGAATCCTGTGTGTAATAAATGGACCTTTCTCACATTTTTTGAGCGTTCTTCATCGTTTCTGTGACGTTAAAACAGCAACATGCAAAGATAGAAAGGAGCCCGCATGCAGGGAAACATTGTGTGTCTGCACTTGTCTTTTTTTTCTTACTGTGGGAGTTTTGTGTCTGCGCAGGACTGAATCATACCAGGGTGTGGTTCTTCTCCAGAACACGAGGAAAGGCTTAGATGTGAGCAGTTTATCTATTTTCTTTTCTTCTCTTTTTAATGCAGATCAGGAACAGATGGTGTATAGAACACTTTTATGATTTTTTTTTTGAATAGAACTCAAGCTCAAAAACTTTTGCGGGGTGTATTAAAAAACAAACAAAACAAAAATAAAGGCTGTGAAGTGGGAAGAAACATAAGGGTTTGGCTGGTTTCTGCGCTACACTGGGCTGGTAACCTGCCAATGAGCTGGGAGGGAAGAAGAACCAGCTGAGAAAGGAGGGGGAGAAAAAAAAAAGAAGTGGATATCAGACACAACAGCCAAAAGACATCTTGTGCACGCCTGGCACGGAGTACAATTTTGGCTTTGTGGAATAAATAAAACCGTCTCATTGGGCCCTGTTTTCTCTGACACATCTGATTTTCAGAAACACTCAACCACAGGAACTGTTGCATCAGAGGTGTGTGTGTGTGTGTTACAGKCTGACTTACTGCAGCTCGAGAATAAATGAAAGTTCTTAGGTAAATCATTAACCAAATTGAAATCTTCACAGTTTTCAGGAGTAACTAAGTGTGAGTCAAACGGCTTTTCCCACTCAATGTCTAAAGGCTGATAATGAAAGACTGGTAAACGAACCTCATTGCAGAAAACACTGTGGTTTTATGTTTTCTCCTTTTTTTTCTGTCTCTCTTGTAAAACAATGGTGTGTTTAGACCCCAAAATGCATCCATCATAAACTCCTCCATTGCAGTCACCAGAGTAGACTCTTCATGTTATGGTTGAGAAAAATGAAACGCTACAAGGAAAACTATTTGGAGAATCGTGAGTTTTTGGTGCTCATGTTGGGCCTTTTYTTCCAAATTTGTCCCTGACCTAAGCAGACCTCTAAACTCTGAAGAAAATAAAAGCATTTGTCGCATCAGCTGTTCTTTAGCGTTGGAAAAAACATCAAAATTTCTATATTATGAAAAATATATGTACATGCATAAGCCTTTGATCAAATGAGAATTCCATAAAGGGAACTTGTGCAAAATCTTTTATGTCTGTTAAATAAATGCTGTACCAAAATCACTTGATCTTCTCAAAAATAGGTGAAATTTTATTGGAAACATAAAAGGAGCTCCATCTGACTCAGCATTTTTTATGCTCCTATTTTCATCTTAAATGTTTTGTTAGCTTTGTTTTTAAAGACACATGATTATTTGTACTTTTAGTATGACAGAATTCATGATTGCTGATTTTGTGATGTGATGTGTTCCCACACAACGAAACTTAAAACCCATTTTATCCACCACTGTTAAAAAGGTGAAAGGGAACATTTATATTTTTGTCTTGGTGTGTGTGTTTGTGTATCTGTTACCAAAAATATCTTGTCATGAACTACGGGACAGTTTTTACTTTTAAGGTTTGATCCGATTGGTTAGATCATTTCTCYTTAAAATATTTGTCTAAAATGTTGCAATAAAGGCAAAGGGATTCTTTGAGCTTGTTTTTTTATTTTTAGTTACAATTACAAAACAAAAGTCTGTTAAAGAATAATAACTTTAAATTAGGGGGATAGAGGTAGAGTGTTTTATTACCCAGGTCAAAATTTTGCAAAGTGTTCCTCAAATTTTTGACCTTCCTCTGAGTGCTTTGAAGGATCAGGGAAGGGTTTGAGGAATTTGCTGCAGGAAAACTCGGCGAGCTTAAGCAAACATGGATATCGCTTCATCTTTCAGCACATTAAGAACTATTTGAGTGGTTTAAACTTTATCAGGGAACAAGACGCTGACACAGAGCACACCTCCAGGCTTTGAAAAATTACTTAAAGAATGAAAAGCCGTGGGGCRCAGCTGTACACCTGAACTTCTCTGTGTTGACCTCCACTGAAAAGTTCAGATCTTCCTGCAACAAATTTAAGTTTTCCTTAAGGCTATGATAAGACAACCTCAATTCCAGTGAAGAAAGGAATTTAGTCCATAAAATTATCAAAAAATTCAGAAAATCTGGACTWAGCATCGAGGCCAAAAACCAACACTGAATGTCCGTGACCTTCGATCCCTCAGGCGGCATTACATTAAAAACCYTTACCTGGTGTTATAGAGTGTGTATGGGGAGTGAGAGTGGAAAATGGGTCCATTTTGTGTCCGTCTGTCCGTCCGTTTTCTGCCGCTTATCCGGGGTCAGGTCGRGGGGGCAGCAGCCTAAGGAGAGAGACTCAGACTTCCCTCTCCCCAGCCACTTGGGCCAGCTTGTCTGGGGGAATCCCAAGGCATTTCCAGGCCAGCTGAGAAACATAGTCCCTCCAGCGTGTCCTGGGTCTTCCTCTGAGTCTCCTCCCAGTGGGACATGCCCTGAACATCTCAACAGGGAGGCTCCCAGGAGGCATCCTAACCAGATTCCCGAGCCACCTCAACTGGCTCCTCTTGACGTGGAGGAGCAGCAGCTCTGCTCTGAGTCCCTCCTGGATGACTGAGCTTCTCACTGATAGAGTTTTATTAGATTTATTAAACTTCTTAAGGTGTTTCAAATAAAGTCTTGAGGTACGTGACAAGTTTATTATTCATCATGGCGTGTCCACAGACTCTCTTAAGCAGAGCTAGTAAGACAAAACAAGTCTGTGTGGTTTTTTACTATTATTCACATATTAAAACCCCAGTAACAAGTGTTTCGATTGGTTCCTCTCTTGTGACATACCACATAACTGATTTCTGATTTGTTGTTAACATTTTGTGACCTCACTCTGACATGTCTG